TTCCCTCTCGTTCTATCTTCTTCTTTTTCTTGATTACTTTACCAAGGTATTGTTCTTGTTTCTTTAGGGCATCACTGGAACAAGTTTTTGATTTAGTTTTCTTGTTTCTTGATTAATTTACCCTTTTTTTTTCAAAAAAATGTTCCCGGTTTTTTTATTTAGGTTTCTTGAAATTTTGTCGATTGCTCTTCGTTTTCAGATATAAGAGTGTTACCGTTTTTCTTTGTAACGGTAACTTTATGATAATTCTCTATAAAATCAAGAAAATAATTTCTTCTTATTTTTCATAAGTTCCCTCTCGTTCTATCTTTTTATTTTTCTTGATTACTTTACTTCAATGGAAGTTCCCAAGTTATTGTTCTTGTTTCTCGTGGGCATCACCGGAACAAGTTTTTGATTTTGTTGCATCTTCAATTTGATAATCGGTACTGTAAATACCGTTGAAAATCAAGATTCACTTGGAAGATTGATAACTTCTCTAGGTGCATTGCTTATTCCCTTCTTGATAAATTCAAATTCTGGGTTTTGAATTTCTTTGGCTTTTACCCTACAGATGGAGTAGATAATCAAATTCATGATGATTTTTCAATCAGAAGAGGTATCCATACGCTTACTATTAAGTAATCTTTTTGGGTTTGTAACATGGTTGCAAAAAAAATTATGATTTGATTTTGTTATAGGGGGGTTCACAAGCATCTGTTTTTCTTCCCAAGCCAAGAACATCACTTATTGGTGATTTTTATGGGGTTTCACGAGCATCTATTTTTGGGTTTTGAATTATGATTTGATTTTGAACCAAATCCATATCAGTCTTCTACATGGTTTGGCAAACATAGTAACAGATTCTTGAAGTTTCGGTATCATCAACCTGTACATCTCAACACAATTGCTACAATGATCTGACGACGGGTATTGGTGATCATCGGAAAAACATGATAATCTTTGCCAGCATTCAATAGCTTCTTAGTCATTCTATCAATTAAGTTAGTTTATAAAGTTAACTTTTAAGGCGGTCATCTTTTTCTTAATAGTCTGGCTTTTTTTTCCTGCAGATTGAATGAGCACATAAAGATGGTAAGGTGGAATTCCAAGATGGATCAATTGTTGATGTAGGTGTCATTATTCATTGCACTGCGTTTTTCCTGAAATATTTTGTCCTTTTAGATTCAAATACATTTTTTCAATCTTTGAGGTGGGAAAGAATCTCTTGCAGGTACAAATACCGTTTTAAATCATTGTTTATTTTTTTTTCTCATAGGGTTCTTTAAATAGGAGTGTTGTTGCAACAGATTTTAAATAAACAAGAAGCCACATGCGATAACTGCGTATACAGGTCTATCTCCGGCCACTTTCTTTACGGTTCTTTCTCTGTTATGGGCCGTTTACTAGCAACCAATCTATTCAGGTCATCCGATGATCACAACCATCAACGGTCCAGGGATTTTAAGGAGGAACAGATGGAGCTGTTCCCATCACTGGTTCAGCTCGGCGAGATTACCGAGGAGGAGCTTAAGTAGTATGATGGGTGGGATTCTAAGAAACCACTCCCAAATCAGGTTTAAACCTGTTTTTTCTCTTCTTTTCTTTGAAATTTTGGGTTTTTCTTTTTCAATTTTCAATTCTTTGTTGGGGGTCAACGGGAATGATAAAGTAAATCTAGAGGGTTTCTAGAAATTCCATTTTTTTCATGGTTGAACTGGAAAGCTTTTTTGATTGCAGCCTGTTGCTGTTCTGCTGATTTCTTTTTAGTTTATTGATGTTGGATTTTCTTTTTTATTAATCAAACAGCTTATGATTTTTCTTCCATGAGTTACTCTTAATTACAGTGAAAGTTTGTATTTTGATTTCTTATGATTGGATGATCAGTTCAAAAATTGTGAGATGAATATGATAAACCACGTATGATATTTAACCAAAGAGTTCATTATAAGTACTCCATATTCTGTTGCTTGATTTTGCATGTCTAATTAGAAGTCCTAGACTTTGTCCCCGAGTGATACTAAACCTCCTGTGTATTAAAAAATTGTGAGATGAATATGATAAATCAGGTATGATATTTAACCAAAGTAGTTCATTGTAAGTACTCCATATTCTGTTGCTTTATTTTTCCTGTCTAATTAGAAGTCCTAGACTTTGTCCCTGAGTGATATATTAAAAAATGATCCTAAACCTCCTGTGTATTATTCTATTAAAATATCTGCAGAATGAGCAGGTTGATCTGATATCAGATGATGATGGTAGGCATGAAATTATTTCTTCATCAGCTTTTGCTTCCTCTCCTGTTGAGTGTAGAGGTATTTTTCTTATCCTTTTGAGTTTGCTTCATAAGTTACAACATCCTGCACCTCTCAGATTATCCAGAGGAACACTTTCAGTTCATGCTTCTGAAGGACATGATATTTAACAACAGTACTCCCTTTTTATTAATAACTAAGGAAAATTTTCTTTTGATTTCTGTTTAGAGGGATGTTATTGAGAATATTAACAAGCCGGTTTTAAGTTCTCTCTAATTTCTACTTTCTGTTAATACTAAATTTCTTAAAAGGACTTTATTTATTTGTTTTTTAACTTGCAGGAAAGACAGAATGTTAAAGTTGTCATATCCCTTGATTTTGTGTTTTTATAGAGGTATGCATTGTACATAAAGTTAACTTCTCAAAACCCCGCCTCAAGTTTGAGGGCTCAACTGTGTATGGGACGATGGAAAAAAAGTAGTTATGTATGGACTGTTGATGAGTCATCTGTATTGATGTACAATGGTGTGATTTCTTTCTCTTGGTTTTTTTTTTCTTTAAAGTTTCTAAGATATACTTTAAGAATATCCCTTGATTTTGTGTTTTTATAGAGGTATGCATTGTACATAAAGTTAACTTCTCAAAACCCCGCCTCAAGTTTGAGGGCTCAACTGTGTATGGGGACGATGGAAAAAAAGTAGTTATTGGACTGTTGATGAGTCATCTGTATTGATGTACAATGGTGTGATTTCTTTCTCTTGGTTTTTTTTTTCTTTAAAGTTTCTAAGATATACTTTAAGAATATAGTCTTTGTGCTTGCGGACATAGGTTGAAACAGCCATTATGACTCTTATTCTACTGTCAAAGAATTCTAAGAGAGCTAGAAATTGAAATCAAACTTCGGTAGGTTGTCTCATGTTGTTTATTTCCCCTTGTCTTTTGGGTAGGCTTATGCTCTTGATGAAGAGATCAATCTTTTTGAGTTTAGCTTCTAGCAATATCTTTTCTCAGTAGAGCAATTCCAGTTCTCAATCATTTTTCTCTCTTATGCTTGCATTTTAGGAAGAAGTCTTCTGCTCATTTTTTTTTATAAGAAAGGGAGGCCTCGTTAAAAACCCCCTTCTGCTCATAGAATTTTACTCTTTTTTCCTTTTGCTGTTTCAAATATTTTTACCTTGTTTTACAGTAATTTTGTGGGTTAGACTGTGACATGGTATTATTTACGATCTGATTAATTTCCTAACCTTTTGCTTGACTATGACATTGGGAGGAATGATTCTTTGGTTGTGCTTGCATTTTAGGAAGAAAGTCTTCTGCTCATAAAATTTTATTCTTTTTTCCTTTCCCTGTTTCAGATATTTTTATGGTTATACAGATAATTGAAGCTAATGTATATTGTACCTTGTTTTACATTAATTTTATGGGTTTGACTGTGACATGGTATTATTTACGATCTGATTAATTTTTCCTAACCTTTTGCTTGACTTTTGACATTGAGAGGCATGATTTTTTGGTTGTGCTTTAATTTCCATGAAATTAAGTTTGAGCCCATGTGTGAACCAATTAACAAGAAAATAACTTTCCAATCTAGCCAGGTATACATTACATTTCAATTTGTATCAGTTTGTTTTGGTTGGTTTAAAGTGTTTTATTCGTCTAACATTTTCACGGCAGCTTTTGATGGTGAGATAATTTGCTTTCAAAAGTCTCTTCCTGTTGAAAGTACTAATCAATACCGCTATGCAAATGTTCCTTCATTTATGGAATATGTTCATAACTGCCAGGTATACATTACATTTCATTTGGTTGGTTTAAAGTGTTTTACATTTTCACGGCATCTTGTGGATGGTGACATGATTTGCTTTCAAAACTCTCTTCCTGTCGAAAGTACTAATCAATACCGCTATCCATATGTTCATTTCTTGAATATATTTGCCAGGTAAATTTCTTCATCCTTTATATTTACAGTTCTCTAGTCAACGAGCTTATCCTTATCATTTTCATTGGATGAGAAGTGTGAAAGTTGACTTCTCTGTTATATTGCCTACTTTTATATATTTACAGTTCTCTTATTCTTGCATTTTAGGAAGACTGTGTATGGAAATGTTCATGAACCTATGATTCAATAGAGGTTTCTCATTAATAAAATTTGAACTAGGATATTCTTGATTGTTGCAGCGATTGGGTTGTTGAGGTTCAGTTTGTGATCCATGCTGGTCTGAAAGGGAGAAATCAATCAAATCATTGAGTGTGAGATACAAGGATATATATGGCAGGCTATTTTTGAGTAAGATTTCTTCAGATCTAGTTTCTTGTCAGATTATTCTCAATTTTTAATGTTTATTTACTAAGTGTTGTTTTATTTCTTTCAATATTAGAATAAATGGGTATTTAATTTTTTTCGGTCACATTTGTAGCTTTTCTCGCACGCTACCCTTAACAGAGAAAATGTAATCTTGTATACATCATTTGGTTTGAGTATGCTTTTTCTTGTTGTATGTCTCGGACTCTTGCTCTTATTTTTTGTTTTTCACTGTATTTTAGTTCCTTACGCCTATTGTAATTTCCTATTTATGCGCGAATGTGGAAGATTACTTTTCTTTTTGTTTAATTGCATAGATATAATCAGTCATGCTACCTCCTGCAGTGAAAATGAAGAAAATGCCATCATGGGGCAGAGTATCAGGTCTTTGTCAAAGTCATATCTTTATGATTAAGCCAAAGAAAATTTAATGTTATTTTTGTATTTGTTAATTGCTTTTTTAATTCTTTTCTATAGCTTTTTATTTGATGTTTGATCTTAGTTGTTTTTGGTTAAATGTATTTCCTTGTTTCAGACAACATTAATAATCTTTGCTTCTTAAATCCTTTTACTTGAGCATATACATAATATTTATATGTCTGTTTATGTAATAATCTTTTTCTTTCCTTTGTAATACCCTGGAAAATTGAAATTGGCAAACAGACCAATTGATCTTGACGTTGAAGGTATGGAGTAGAGGCATGGTGTTACTTTTATTCTCTCGTAAAAGTAATCATTTTTTGTCTTCATGTGCTCTAGTTGCATATTGCTGCAGGACTATACAAAAGGCAGTTAGCAAGGGACCAATTGAACTTGATTCTGAATTAACAGAACTGCAATGTGAGTTGTTACTGTTATTTTTCATATTTTTAATGTTTTGCATAAAATTTTAGAATGTTATTGACTTGAGTTGGTTTATGGGTTCATGCCTTTCCATATTTTTCTTGCCTTTTCATGGTTTAGGTCTTTAGTCCTGTATTTATGGTTCATTGTATTAGATATAAATGTTGAATCATCATCTCTCCAGTGTGAAAGCTATTATCTCTAAATATTTGACCTTTTTTAGCCTTTGGTAATTATCTCAGTATTTGTATTTTCTCTGTTTTTGCTTTTATAATTTACCAGTGGATATTTCAGTGCTCTTGCTTGTTTTTGTGTGGCACCTTGCTCACTGTTATTCTACTCTTTTCTCCTGATAGGAAGAGTAGTATAATTCAACTCGGAACTTTAAAGGAGAGTTATGGCTAACAAGGCCTTGTCGTGTTTTGTTATCACCATTAGCTGCTTGGTTTTTGCAATGGCAATGGGCATATGCGTTGTAATGACACATTCACTAATTACTTTGTTTTTTTTTTTCCTTTTATACTTCGGGCCCTTATTAATGCTAATTAGGAAGACCTAAATTTGTATAAACAGTAAAGGAACTTGAATTTTAGAGTAACAAGTATATGATTAATCAGAAAAGATGTGACCGATTGACGTTGATGCTAAAGGTACATTGCATCAGTGTATATCTTAATTGCTGTTGTTCAAGCTGTGAATGACAAAAAGAATAGAGTTATTATTTTTATTGAATGACAAAAAGAATGGAGTTAATATTTATATTGGATGACAAAAAGAATAGAGTTGTTATCTATATTTCAATTACTCATGTAACAATATTGTTGCAACACCTATACTTCTTCTGTCTTTGTTTGTAGCTTTACAAAACAGAAATACTTGGAAAAAGAGAAAGATCGATGGACCAATTGACGTTGATGCTAAAGGTACATTGCATCAGTGTATATCTTAAGTGTTATTTTTCAAGCTGTGAATGACAAAAAGAATAAAGTTATTATTTATATTGAATGACAAAAAGAATAGAGTTATTATCTATATTTCAATTACTCATGTAACAATATTTTTGCAACACCTATACTTCTTCTGCCTTTGTTTGTAACTTTACAAAACAGAAAGACTTGGAAAAAGAGAAAGATCGATGGACCAATTGACGTTGATGCTAAAGGTACATTGCATCATTGTATATCTTTAGTGTTGTTGTTGTTCAAGCTGTGAATGACAAAAAGAATAGAGTTATTATTTATATTGAATGACAAAAAGAATAGAGTTATTATCTATATTTCAATTACTCATGTAACAATATTGTTGCAACACCTATACTTCTTCTGTCTTTGTTTGTAGCTTTACAAAACAGAAAGACTTGGAAAAAGAGAAAGATCGATGGACCAATTGACGTTGATGCTAAAGGTACATTGCATCAGTGTATATCTTAAGTTTTGTTGTTCAAGCTTCAAATGTTCATGTAACTTTGTATTTCAATTACTAATGTAACAATATTGTTAACACCTATACTTCTTTTGTCTTACAATTTGTAGCTTTACAAAATCGCAAGACTTGGAAAAGAAAAGATCGATTTACTAATTGACGTTGATGCTAAACGTACATGGAATCAGTTTACATCTTAGGTGTTGTTATTGAAGCTTCTAATGTTCTTCATTTAACTTTGTAAAAGCGCAACCAAACAAGACTACTGAAAATCAAAGCGCATTTCCTACATACTGTTCCATGCAATATTTTTCTTGAAGCTCTAAGGTATAGGTGCCTACCCTTAATATATCTAGAACAATAAAATCAAATGGGCAACATGCTTTAGGCTGCAGCCATATGTGATAACTGCATATACGAGTCTATCTCCAGCCACTTTCTTCATGGTTCTTGCTCTGTTATGGCCATTTACTATGTAGCAACCAGTCTATTCAGGTCATCTGATGATCACAACCATCAACGATCCAGGGCTTTCGAGGAGCAGCAGATGGAGCCGCTTCCATCACCGTTCAGCGCAGCGAGATTTTCCGAGGGAGCGCTTAACAGTATGATGGGTCGGATTCTAAGAAGCCACCCCTCAAAGTAGGTTTAAACTTTTTTTCCCTCATCTTTTCTTTGAAATTCCGGTTTTTTTTCCAATTTCCAATTCTTTTATTGGGGGTCAACGAGAATGAAAAAGTAAATCTGGGGGGTTTCTAAGAATTCCAGGTTTTTTTTTTCTCATGGTTGAATTGGAAAGCGTTTTTGCTTGCAGCCTTTTGTTGTTCTGCTGGTTTCTTTTTAGTTTATTGATGTTAGATTGTCTTTTTTATTAATCAAACAGCTTATGATTTTTCTGCCATGAGTTACTCCAGGTGATTACAATGAAAGTTTGTATTTTGATTTCTTAAAATTGGATGATCAATTAAAAAATTGTGAGATGAATACGATAAACCAGGTATGATATTTAGCCAAAGTAGTTCATTGTAAGTACTCCATATTGTTCTATTAAAATGTCTGCAGAATGAGCGGGTTGATCTGATATCAGATGATGATGATAGGACTGAAATTATTTCTTCATCAGCTTTTGCTTCCTCTCCTATTGAGTGTAGAGGTATTTTTCTTATCCATTTGAGTTTGCTTCATAAGTTACAACATCCTGCACCTCTCAGATTATTCAGAGGAACAACTTTCAGTTCATGCTCCTGAAGGACATGATATTGTAACTACAATACTCCCTTTTTATTAATAACTAAGGAAAGTTTTCTTTTGATTTTTGTTTAGAGGGATATTATTGAAAATATTAACAAGTCGGTTTTAAGTTCTGTAATTTCTACTTTCTGCTAATTCTTCATGCTAATACTAAATTTCTTTAAAGGACTTTATTTATTTGTTTTTAACTTACAGGAAAGAGAGAATGCTAAAGTTGTCATTTCCCCTGATTTTATGTTTTAGAGGTATGCATAGTACAGAAAGTCAATTAACTTCTTCAAAAACCTGCCTCAAGTTCATTGTAAGTACTCCATATTTTGTTGCTTGATTTTTCTTGTCTAATTAGAAGTCCTAGACTTTGTCCCTGAGTGATATATTAAAAAGATCCTAAACCTCTGTGTATTGTTCTATTAAAATGTTGCAGAATGAGCGGGTTGATCTGATATCAGTTTGATTTTTGTTTAGAGGGATATTATTGAAAATATTAACAAGTCGGTTTTAAGTTCTGTAATTTCTACTTTCTGCTAATTCTTCATGCTAATACTAAATTTCTTTAAAGGACTTTATTTATTTGTTTTTTAACTTACAGGAAAGAGAGAATGCTAAAGTTGTCATTTCCCCTGATTTTATGTTTTAGAGGTATGCATAGTACAGAAAGTCAATTAACTTCTTCAAAAACCTGCCTCAAGTTCATTGTAAGTACTCCATATTTTGTTGCTTGATTTTTCTTGTCTAATTAGAAGTCCTAGACTTTGTCCCTGAGTGATATATTAAAAAGATCCTAAACCTCTTGTGTATTGTTCTATTAAAATGTTTGCAGAATGAGCGGGTTGATCTGATATCAGATGATGATGGTAGGACTGAAATTATTTCTTCATTAGCTTTTGCTTCCTCTCCTGTTGAGTGTAGAGGTATTTTTCTTATCCATTTGAGTTTGCTTCATAAGTTACAACATCCTGCACCTCTCAGATTATTCAGAGGAACAACTTTCAGTTCATGCTCCTAAAGGACATGATATTGTAACTACAGTACTCCCTTTTTATTAATAACTAAGGAAAATTTTCTTTTGATTTTTGTTTAGAGGGATATTATTGAAAATATTAACAAGCCGGTTTTAAGTTCTGTAATTTCTACTTTCTGCTAATTCTTCATGCTAATACTAAATTTCTTAAAAGGACTTTATTTATTTGTTTTTTAACTTGCAGGAAAGAGAGAATGCTAAAGTTGTCATTTCCCCTGATTTTATGTTTTAGAGGTATGCATAGTACAGAAAGTCAATTAACTTCTTCAAAAACCTGCCTCAAGTTTGAGGGCTCAACTATGTGTATGGGATGAAGAAAAAAATAGTTTTATATGGACTGTTGATGAGCCATTAGTATTGATGTAAAATGGTGTGAAAGGGTGAGTTACTAGACATGTTTTCTCTTGGTTTTTTCTTTAAAGTTTGTAAGATATGCTTTAAGAATATAGTCTTTGTGCTAGCGGACATAGGTTGAAACAACCATTATGACTCTTGTTCTACCATCAAAGAATTCTAAGAGAGTTGGAAAGGAAAATTAAACTTTGGTAGGTTGTCTATTTCCCCTTGTCTTTTGGATAAATACGTGAAATCTTATTTGGGTTATCTTTCTGATCAATATTAGCTATATTGGAGGGTTGTTGTGAAAAAGCCTATAGAAATTTTGTCCAAATTAAACAAAATGGCAGAGTATGCTCCTGATGAAAAGACCAATCTTTATGAGTTTAGCTTCTAGCAATATCTTTTCTCAGTAGAGCAATTCCAGTTCTCGGTCATTTTTCTCTCTTATGCTTGCATTTTAGGAAGAAAGTCTTCTGCTCATAGAATTTTACTCTTTTTTCCTTTTGCTTTTTCAAATATTTTTACTGGTTATATTGATAATTGAAGCTAATGTATTTTATACCTTGTTTTATAGTAATTTTGTGGGTTTGACTATGACATGAAATTAAGTTTGAGCCTAGTGTTATGTGTGGACCAATTGACAAGAAAATAACCTTCCAAGCTTGCCAGGTATACATTACATTTCAATTCTTATGAGTTTGTTTTGGTTTTGTTTAAAGTGTTTTATCGTCAAACATTTTCACTGTAGCTTGTGAATGGTGACATAATTTGGTTTCAAAAGTCTCTTCCTGTCGAAAGTACTAATCAATATCACTGTGCAGATGTTCCTTCATTTCTCGAATATGTTCATAACCGCCAGGTATACATTACATTTCAATTTGTATCAGTTTGTTTTGGTCGGTTTTAAGTGTTTACATTTTCACGGCAGCTTGTGGATAGTGGAATAATTTGCTTTCAAAGTCTTCCTGTCGAAAGTACTAATCAATACTATCCAGATGTTTTCATTTATGGAATATAATTGTCAGGTACATTTCTTCATCCTTTATATTTACAGTTTTCTAGTCAGTAAGCTTATCCCTATCATTTTTGGATGAGAATTGTGGAAGTTAACTTCTCTGTTATTGTCTGCTTTTTATATTTACAGTTCTCTTATGCTTGTTTTTTAGGATGAAGGTCTATCATTAAATTTTACTCTTTTTTTTCCTCTTGCTGTTTCAGATATTTTCACCGGTTATATTGATAATTGAAGCTAATGTATATTGTTCCTTGTTTCACTGTAATTTTGTGGAAGTAGGATTTGTAAATATTCTTTATTGGTTAGGATCTCTAACTTTAAGGGATTGTATTTATTACTAGAACCAGTCACTTTCCTAGTTTAGAAGCTTCTTAAGATAAGACATTTGCTTGTATATTTTACTGTATGTTTCCTTCATGTTGTAAAACTAAAATTCTCTGAAAAAATTCTTTATTTCACGTTAAATTCAGATTGTACAAAGGAATGTATATATACAAGTGTTTTCAAGAGTTTGAGATAAAATAGAGTTCTAAAGTTGGTGTCAAAGTAATACTAGTATTTACATCTAACTATAACTCACACTCCCCTCAAGCTGGGGAATAGATGTTGTAAAGACCCAGCTTGGGTGTAATCTCGTCTAAATTGATTCTTGGAAGTGCCTTGGTCAAATATCGGCTATTTGATCTTTTAAAGAGACATAGTTGAGTTTTACGGATCCACCATTCACCTTTTCTGCAATGAAGTGTCTGTCGATCATCACATGCTTAGTTATGCCAGTTAATTTCCCCAAGTCACCAAATTTCCCCAACGAACAATAACCTGTTCGATCTCCTATCATTTAATTCTCCAGCCCAACTTGAACTTGAAAAGATCTTGATTGTTCTATCTTCATGTTTTCTGAAGATTAATCCATGAACCGGTGTCATCTCCAAATACCTTAAAATACGAGATACTTCCAAATGTTCTTTCTTTAGGATCGTTCATGTACTGACTCACATACTCACAGAGAATACTATGTCTGGTATAGTAAGTGACAAGTAGATGAGCTTGCCCATTAACATTTGATATTGTTCTTTAACTTCATATTTGCTTCCATGGGAGTTTCTGAAGGCTTGCAACCTGTAAATCCAGTTTCAGAGAGTAAGTCCAGAATTATTTTCTTTGATTTATGACGACCCCTTCTTTGATCTTGCTACTTCCATGTCCAAAAAATACCTCAAGGTCCTTAAGGTCCTTGGTTTCAAATTCTCGTGCAGCAATGTCTTCAAATTTTCGATTTCTCTGATGTCATCACCTATGATGATGATGTCATGCCACGTAGACAATTAAGACTGCCCTTTTATTATTTGGACCTTTTCTTCACAAAAAGAGTGATCAGATTGACATTGTTTATTTTGTCTTGTAAGAGTACCTAACATCAACCCTCTAACCAACAACAAACTACCCAAACATGATTACAACCCAAATTACCCTATGCCCGATTTAGCCAAGCTATCAGCCTCCCAATTCACACATCTCTTTACAAACCTAATAATTACAATACGATCCAAACACAATTACAATTTCCTTAACTAACGGGGTAAGCATAGCCAGGACACGCTCCCAGATCTTTATCCAGTTCAGGCATTAGCTGTCTCCAAAATTAACCAACCTTTCTATCCCACTCAGATATGGGAGAATTACAGTAATTTGTTTTCTTTATCCATTCAAGGCATTAGCTGTCTCCAAAATTAACCACCTTTCCATCCCACTCAGATATGGGAAAATTACAGTAAAATTATGTCTTTTGACATATTATTTACCATCTGAATAATTTTTTCCTAACCTTTTGCTTGACTTTTGACATTGAGGCATGATTCTTTGGTTGTGCTTTAATTTCCATGAATTAATTTGAGGCCCATATTCCATCTGAATAATTTTTTCCTAACCTTTTGCTTGACTTTTGACATTGTGAGGCATGA